ACAGAGGGGACCCTTGGGGGCGGCTCGTGAGCAGCCCTGCACCTTGCGGTGGGAGAACCGGCTCCCCAGGCTGATCATGAGGGCTCACCGCTGTTGGCAGCGCTGCAGTTCCCACCTAACCAAAAGGCGCCTTTTTTGCCGAGGAAAACTTCCAAACCCGTCCTGGGTTTTCCTTTCCTGGGTGCAGAGTGAGCTCCTTCTTCTGGCAGTGATTGTGAGGTGAGGACACAGGAGGAACAGTTACAGCCTGAAAGGAAAAACAATATTCATAGGAATGAGAATAAATAATTGTTTAAACTATGGAAGATCCAATTCTGAGCCTAAGCCAATGATATTATCAAGCATTCCAGCTTTTAAACACATATAATCATTATCATACAGTGAACAACTTAGTTTACTCTCCTGTTTTCCAAATACAGGACTGCTGTACCACATCAGTGCAAAACACTGCGTAGATTCTTCACATAGGGAATATATTTCTCCCCACACTTGCAACATGAATAAAAGTCAGCTTCCTGGAAGGGTATTCGTGCAACCACATTTTTATCCTGCAAATCTGAAAAAGCAACCTGCCAGCGAAGGAGACTTAGCTGCAGGTCTACATGACTCTGAGGAGTCTGATTTTGAAAGCCTTGCTCGAGAGAGACAGTATCAGCTACAACTCCAGCAGCGGATTCGTGAAAATGAAGAGCTGGAAGGGCTGTCTTCAGAGGAGTTTGAGAATGACAGCTTAGAAGATAGCTTGGAAGAGAGGAGCATAAAAGAGCAAGGAGGAGCCGCGTGTGACCCAGACCGATACACAACTGGAATGCAAAAGGGCGGTAGTAATGAAAGGTAAGGCATAGGATTTTAGTAGAGAAGTGAAATAGTACTGACACTTTAAAGGCCTGCATATCTCAAAGCATACAATACATCTCCAAAACCAGTTTATACGGTGAAAGTACTATTGAGGTACCCCAGGATGGAGTTAGACACAATTGCACTTTTTCTGTTGTACCCTCCTTCGTAATTATCACATCCATTTCTCCAGCATTACCCCAGTTGTTTGCTGTTCATGCTAAAACCATCGTAGAAAGGAAAGGTGTGAGAACATCTCCCACATACCTATAACTGTTCCCACATCCTGGCCCTAGGCATCCCATACGAAGGGGCCTCCTTATGTGCCCCCCCAAACAGAAAAGCAATAATGTGGGAAGCAGAGAGCTGGTCTGTGTTAATCCCTACTTTTAGGCAGCACTAGTAAGCTAGAGGTGCAGCATTTTACTAGTCTCCCATTGGTAAAGGCCTGTTAAACTAGATCCATTTTTATACCCACTGCTTGACTGAGAACCCTCTGCAGTCCAAGGAGGAGTTCAACACCTGGGACAGGCTGTGGATCAAGCACTGCTGTATTTAGCAGTGTGGGCTGGCTACTGTCTCACATCACCCACCAGGGCTCTGGAAATGAGAGAAAACAGTGACCAGCACTGACACGTGCTGTCATCATGCCTTGCAGAAGGACCTGTGCTAAGCCACTGCACCACTCGGTGCAAGAAACTTCCATGCAAAATCGGCGAGTTGAAAAAAGGCAGTTTTGTTCTGTAACTACATACATCTAAAATGAAAAATTGCAGGGTAACCGTCAAACATTCTTTAAAAAGCATTAACTTGGTACATAAAATTTAATTTGCTGTCATATGCATAAAAGGTTTAATGTTGTATAAATTGGAAGTAATTCTCAAGTTTAAAAGGATTAAATTAAACCTGAAGTAATAATAATGTGCAGTTTCAATTTAATTGTCTACTTAAAATAAAATGGCAAACAAATGAAGGCTAAATGATTAATAGCATGCTTTTATTCACCTCCTCAACAGGCAAAATGGTCAGTTATTGAACATTTTATTGTGAGTACAAAATGATGTTAATTGTACTGGAAACATGCTCTAATTTTTAGTAATTTTTTGACTGAATACTATGCTGAATGTGAGGCTCTTCATTAAATGGAAATTTGATTTTATTTTGTTTGAACTTAGCCTAGTAAGTACTCAAATATAGTCCATTAACCAGAGCAAATATCACGGCGTATGCATATGAAACCCCCTCTCCACATCCATTACTAACCTCGGAATTTGAAGAGGAAACGCTGCATCTGTTGTCAACGTGTAACACTTTTGTTGACGAGCACAGAGTCCATCTAACCTTCATATCAAGTTGGGGGAGGAGGAATGGAAGGTGCTCTTTTTGTCTGCAGATGAGTAGGGATGAAGGAGCTCTTCACACTCGTTTTGTTCCAGCACGGTGACCCGGCCTGTGCGATACAATTGAGCTCCTGTGCACACATTTCAGCACAATAGAACTCTCTAAAATTATACTCTGTTGTTTGAATCATTACAATTGTATCACATATTTCTGTATTCATTCCAAAAACATGGTCACCTAATTCTGTTTACCTGTGGGATCGCAGCTATGAATAATAATGTTTTCGCCAGTGTAAATCATCTGGTCTCTAATACACAGGATACCAGGGCACGGATGCTTACCTAAATTGAAAGTATTGACAGAGAAAGAGCTTATTTGGCTGCCACTTGTCATATAGACAAATACATAACTAATTTAGAAAGAATCAATAAATGGTTTTTAGAAGTGTTAATATGGTTAACTGTGTCAGTTTGGAGAATCCACTAGATGATTTTGTATAATTAGAGCTGAAGAGCAAATTGGAATCGAGTGTCTCTAAATGTCACAGAAAAAGGCTCACCATTTGTCGCTGTCTAAGAGAGCAGGGTCTAAGAGACTGCAGATCCAGTTAAGCAAAAACAGTCTTAAAAGCTTTTTCCCCTTATCCCTTCCTCTAGCTTTCCATCGCCTGGGAGAGAAACTGTATGCTTCTGTCTTGGGCAGTTGATCTTCCTCCTGTTGCATTAGAATTAAGAAAGTCTTGAAAAGTTGTCTGTTCAGTTGAGCATGTTTGCAAGCTGGTTATCATAGGCTAAATTTTACACTGGAGAAACTTCCTCCTGTTGCATTAGAATTAAGAAAAAGTCTTGAAAAGTTGTCTTTTCAGTTCAGCATGTTTGCAAGCTGGTTATCACAGGGTAAATGTCACACTGGAGAAATTCTAATTTAAGCAATTAATACATAAGTTCTCTTGAGCCTTTTTTTTTTTTTTTTTAAACCAGGAAGAGCCAGTCCGTGGACAAATATTTCAACCTAAGATACAACCCTAACTGGAAGAACATGAAAGGCGTAGCAGAATTTTCTGCGGTGCAAAAAGCACATCAAGTGCCTTTAAGAGACAGCGTGGAACTTTCACAAGACTCATTTTACCTCCTTTCCAATGACTGCCCAAAAGAAGAGACTCAACAGATGGCAGAATCACAAGATACATCCCCTGACTTTGATACAGAAGTATTAAACTTCC